AAAAGGTATAATTAATTAATTTAAAATTACAACAGTTGCAAAACATTATCCATATATTTTTAATATTTTTTATTTGAAAATTTTCTAAAGTTTTTACTTAATAGAAGTAGAAGCATTTATTTATAAAAATATGCGGTTTAATAAAAAAAAAAAATTGAAAACTTAAAACGTATAGCGATATAGAAAAGATTAAGCATAAATATATAGTGTATATATGGCTTTAACAATTTATTGTAAAAAAATACATTTTTCTAAACAATTTATACATAATTTGTATTCATCGTTTTTGTGGTGGCATTCATTATTATTTTACGGACTTATCATTAATTTTATCATTTTGCTTTGCGTTTCATATTTGCAAGTGTTGTCTAGTATAGTTATTAAAACGTTAAAATGTCTGTAAAATTCCTATAGTCTGAGGAAGAAGTTCGGAATATGCTGCAATCTTATCACTTTTGTAAATCCTATCCCACATTTGTAACTTTTCATTAAGACAGAATGTTTCGCATAAACGGCGCTCAGAACCGTTAAAAATCACTTAATTAAATTATTAACTTCGTTAATGACTTCACATCTATAGTTTCCATTGCCGTAACGTGGAGATTTCGTTCAAAAATAAATAGGTCCCTTTCTTAATGTACTCGAATCAAATTAGCTTAATACCCACCTTTGATTTATTTAAGAGGATCACGGATTCGCTCCGTAAAGTAGACTGTTGTTTATCGTACCAGATACGTATCAATATGTTGATGGACTGTATTTGATGGCTGATTTAAAGTAATATTAGTGCTATTGTATTAATTCCATAAACTGATGCTTGGGAACACTTTCTGATATAACTAATATAGCAATAATTTAAATACAGTAGAAAAAAATAGCATTACTGCATGAGCAGTAATTTTATCTATAGTATTACTGAAAACATGAATATATAATTGTTTTTCATTCATTCGATGTCAAAATAATTCTTGTAATCATTTTTTTTTAAATTATTATTGTTGTTTTTATTTTTTTTTTTTTTAACACCTTTGTTGTGTAAATTAGACGATATAATCAGTACTTTGACATGTTTATGTTTTACAAATCACTATACTGGCGCCTAATCACCATAAATGCAGAATATTTATCATATAACATGAAATATTAATAAAATATTACTAACAAAAAAGGATAAAGAATACTACATAATATTATTTTTGTTAACACAAACAATAAATACTGCTCATGTTTCTATATCATTTTAAATCACGTAGCATGATTTTTTCTTTTCTTGCTCTTAGTCACAATGCATTTATGGAGATCTTTGAAATCTTAATAATAGTCAACTATTTTCAATATACAATTCCCTCCACATTATTAATATCCGAGTTCAAAAGCTTAAACTATATCATCGGAACATGTACAATACATATTATATTTATTTCTCTTCGTTCAAGTTTCTGTTAGGTATTATATGAATGATTTGCTCGGAACTTCTAATGCCAAATATAGAAGTACAGTAATAGAAGTATACCCGAAGATTAGATCTTCTGACAAGAAACTAGTCATTTATTTGTTGTAAAACTAAAATTAAAAAAAAATTAAAATAAAAAAAACCCAACACTATTTGAATGTTATTCCCTTTTTTTACAATATAAATTTTAAGTGAAAAAAGATACCACAATTATCAATTAAATTCACTATTTAGATATATTTTTGTTTAAATAATAAATTCGAATAAATATGTGGTTTAAGAATAAATATTAAAAATGGTTAAAATGTAGTAATAAGCTACTCCTTTGATATATTCCAATAGAAAACAGTAAATTTTAAAATTTTTCGCAATAAATCAAATGACATAAAATAATATTCGTAAATAGGTACATTTTAATTTTTTCAAAAGCATGTACATCGAATGAATGTTAAAAAACAAAGCATTTTTTAAGTACATCGAGCTTGTTATTACCACTTGTACTATTATCGCAACATATGTATAATTATCATGGTAGTAAACATCATACATTTTAACACGTCGTACAATTCATTATCAAACGTAACTAGTTTATCTACTTTTCAAAAACGTTAAATGTGTAAAATGTATATTTTATATACGTGGGAAACATTCGTTCATTCTTTATTCGAAACGGATTCATAAGAAATCAAACGAGACTCCGGTTTTTGTAAAATTAATTTTTTTATCAGGCATTTTTCATAATTTTCAAGTGCAATACATTTTCTAAAATATACCGTTTTTATTTTGCATGCACCGTACGTATAAAACATTACGTATTAATGTTATCGTTATTACTATTTATATTATCATTCGTACTCTCGTAGAGCATTAATTTACTCGGCCAACTCGTTTGTATTGCAATTCGATAATTATTACACTAAACATCCAATACTATTCAAACATCCGGTTGAAGTATATTTACAACCATACTTAATTAAATAACAAAATAATATATTTTACACCGACCGACCAGTATAATATAATACGCGCGCGGTGCGATTAATTATCTATAAAACGGTACTCATAAATATCAATTTTCCAATTGTAAATTAAAATGATAATATGGGATTTATTTTTGTACCGATTTTGTTTCGTGGGTGCATAATATATTTAACGCGAGTGTGTATGGATAGTTCATGACAGAAAAGTAAAATTATACAACGCGGACGAACGCATATTGTTTAGTTACGTTTTATGCGTGTAAACTTTAGGATCGAATTATAATAATAATAATAGTATTATCGCTTATTAGATAGATGTTTATTATCTACTGACTTGATAACGTGACAATGCGAATCGCCACCCGGAGCCTCTTAAGTAAGTACGCACGTGCAATTGTTAGAGTTTAGTGGATTATTGGCAAAAACATAACTTGGGATTTATTCGCATACCCGGAGATTTTATCGAATGCATTGCCGAGAATAATTGAGATAAATTAAAACTATCCTTTCAAAATACCTTTATCCTAACATAATCGTTAAAAAATTAACCAAAGAATTATTATAATAATAATAATAACAAAAAATACTTTCAGTTCTAATGAAAGGTTTCATAGACACTAACAATTATTATTATTTAAGTAAATACTGTTAAAATTGGCATTTCTAATTTTTATATTTAACTGTTTATTATTAAAAAAAAATAATTCATAAATAAAATATAACACAGTCAAATGTACCTATTAAATATCAACATTATCTATAATACTTATTTTATAGTAAAAATAATTTTTTAAAAATCGAGACTTACATTTGAAACCGTTCAATTCCTAAATTTATTGAAAATAAAAAAACTTCAATATTAAGGCCTTTTAATGAAACATATAAATAAAATAAGCTTTATAAAACCCGCACTAAAATAATGTATAAGGCTAATTACCGTTTACGAAGCAATATATTATTAATAAATACTATAACGATTTGTGCCCTTACTGACTTGTCGTGACTTGACTTTCATTTCACGTTTTATTAATTTAAGAACGGCAACAAAACACGGTGTGTCATATGACTGAGTACGAGCATCTTTGAGCAATGAATTTGAATCATTCTGAACTTGCCATTGGTGTTAATGTTACATTATACTTCATTCTTGTAATTTATTCAAGAGTTTTAATGAAATAACGACGAAATTATTAACTCTATGATATATCATCATATGATTAAGATAAGTACTAGTTACGTATTATTTTTTTTTTTTTTTTAAGGACAGAAAAACTTTATTTTAAGCATTTAATTACTCAATTTTAACTGTCCTGATAATAATTTCATTGTTCTAAAATAATAATTTAATATAACCAAGTTGTTTGAAATATGTAAATTACATAATATATCAATAACATATTATGTATATAATTAAAAACACCAGTTAAAAACTAGGTATATATTTTATTTGAAAATATTTAAAATAATTGTGCATTATTCTTTACAACACATGATATAAGTACTGATCAATGACGACATGCTCAGGAAGGGACAAATTAATCACAGCATTTTACTATAAATGCAAATTTTCTCCATAACTGACAACATTATTTATTTATTATTTTTATTATTGTAATTCTTGTTACCTACTCTTTCCACGAAACTATTTCCCACAAATCGTCATCGTGTCGACCGTTGTACATAGCAAATATAAGATCGTAGTTATGTTTAAATTTAAAAATTATGACATTATTTTTCGAAAACAACGTTTTTTACATTTACTTAAAAAGCGAAACGTTTCGATTTGACTAGGTAACGATATAGTAATTGTATTGGATGAATGTTTCGCTTAAGCACGTACTTTAGTATCCCATTCACGGTGATCGTTCAAAAAGTACAAGTTAAATATAATCAATTATAACTGAAACTGTAATACATACCTACGTATACACGGTGTATTTTCTATATAGTCATGTGTCGAGAGATTTATTTGTTGCCAAAAACGTGAATTTCGATCAAGCAAAAAATGTATATTTATTTTCTTTAACTTGTATTACTAAAAAAAAAGTATATTTTTTTACGTTTTGCACTTTTACTACATCCCAGTTACGAAGAATTTATAATAATGAGAATATTATCAATGGATTGAAGAATATACACGAAAATAATTCACAACGGTTTTAAGCCGGATTCAAGAAAAACATGAACAATGCGAACAGTTGTCAAAATATAGTCCAAATGAACTCATGAGATATAACAATGTTATGAGTAACGAGTATATTTTGTCCTTTTATCAATAAAATAATGAGTGCGATAGTATGTATATTATAAAATTTAAAAATAAAAAAATTGCATATATATATATAACTTTTTTATCGCCATCAGCCGCTATAATATTATTATGCACTGCAACTGTTTGATTTATTTGAGTCCGTGAACAGGTTAAGATTAATTGGTGAATTAAATTTTCAATTTCCTCAATGTTCACACAGCATATTATTATGTATTGCTGTTATTAGTTACTTATTGATGGGGAAATAAAATTCTTATTGTCTTCAATATTTGATTTTGTTTTTTTTTACCACTAGAACAATATGCTACCGAATGGTGAAAAATCGTTCGTCGGAAATTCTTACACGATCGACTCAGTCCGAAGACAAGATGACGGAGTTTACATTTGCACCGCATCGAGCACTATCGGGTCGTCCGTCTCCGAAGAAATCGACCTCAACATACTGTGTAAGTATATACAATAACATTATAAAAATTATAACTATTATTTTTATTAATTACTATTTTTATATTCTTACGTTCTTATATGAAGTAATAACAAGAACCTACATGGTCAAAACCCTTCAAGTAATATCACATAACGATAAATTAAAATTATTAAAATGGTCGAATTATTTTACAGAATGTTCATACAAAACACACCTATAGTCTATAAATACATTTTAATGATAAATATTATAGAATTCATATTGTATGTTATAATAATGCAATCATTTTAGACTTAAATTTAGATAGTTATAAGTTAATTTCTTGAATTTTAATTTGATTTAAAACTGAACCTAGTTAATTATTTTTATAAACTTTTCCACGCATTTGATATTGAATGATTAACAGCACGAGTTTAAGTTAAAATTAAATGGTTACTACTTTAATAATAATGTTGATTCCTATTTTTTTAATTTTTTATTTTTTTTTTTAAGTATTTTTCTAAGTGATACAATACATATGACAAAATTCAAACGATGTCACTTAAATACAATTATATTATCATTGTTTAATGTTTTTTATTTGTATTGGTTAGCAATAATAAAATACTTTGATAAAGAGGAATCAAGATTTATAATGTAAAATAATGTTTGCGGAAATAACAGAAGTTAGGTCGGAAAACAATAAATTATTTGTGTAATATAGATAATTATAATAATAATAATAATATAATAATTATAAATACCGTGTGTTTACCAATTTAGTGTACACTGAATTTCTCGGTCGGATTATTTTGGAATAAATGGAATTTTTTTTACGAGCTAATGGTATATAAATACACATTTTCAGTTAAATTTCAAAAATTTAACTCTCTCGGTACGCGCATGTGCAATGCAACATATTTTTTTTTTAATATTAACCGATATTTTTGATATCAAATTCTGATAGAATGAATTTTTTTAAGTCATTTTGACCATTTAACCATGACTCTAAAACCAAAATTGATTGAATGAGAGCCATTTAAATGTTAATAAATAACAATTTTTTACAATTCATTATAAAATGCATAAAACCATTTATAATTATTTATTATTGGTAATTTTTTGAATATTTTTACGTATTTTTTTTTTTCTTAATACGTTTTATAAAAAATATTAACATAATATTAATATATTAACAAAATAATAATACATAATAATTATTTAATTAAAATTGATTATATAGTTTTATGCATTTTATAATGAATTGTAAAAAATTGTTATTTATTAACATTTAAATGGCTCTCATTCAGTCAATTTTGGTTTTAGAGTCATGGTTAAATGGTCAAAATGACTTAAAAAAATTCATTCTATTTGAATTTGGTATCAAAAATACCTATTAATATTAAAAAAAAAATATGTTGCATTGCGCATGCTTGTACCGAAAAGGTTAAAATTTGAAATTTATCTAATAATATGTATTTATATACCATTAGCTTAAAAAAAAAAAAAAATCGATTTATTCCAACATAATCCGGCCGAGAAATTCAGTGTTCCCTAAATTGGTGAACACACAGTATATATTTTTAATCATTACCTCATTAATCGTTGTGTTACAATTGATGCTATTCCAAACAAATATGATAAAAGTCTAATCATTATATAAAAAGTAGTATCAAGCAATAACCGAAAAACCAATTTGAAATTCAAGACAATTCACATTCAATCGTCCATCGCGCATATTATATCATATAATATATCATATATACAGTATCAAATATTACAGTGTAATATTATAGTATATTATAGTAAATAGATTATGTATAATTTTAATTTTTTTTTCTTCTCCTCGTGATATTTCACGACAGCGCTTAAAATTAGTAGGTTTTATTTCATTTACATCACATCACACCATTATAAGTGGTGTCTTTTATTAATTTTGAATTTTGTAATTTAAATAGCTGATTAATCTCGGTATTTTTTTTTTTTTTTTACTGTTTTAATACTGCGTTATTGTTTTTCGTATTTTTGTTTCCGTTATCTACTCAACTTTGAGTAATATTTCTATGATAATCAATTTTCAGTTAAATTATAAACGATAATATCTATTTATTTAAAAATTCATTATATATATATATATATATATATCGTGTTATAAGCTTTACAAATACATGTTATACAACTCTAAAATAATACATATTTCATTTTTTTTATTTACCAATTTCGAACATAAAAAATCAAATTTACGTACGCATTGAAACATTTTGAGAGTATCAATCAAATTGATTGCATCAAATATGAAGAAAATCAAAACGTAAATGAAGCCACATCTTTATTTGACAGTTATAAATAAACATAATAAAATATGATTTATGATTTTATATTTGAATATTTTATCATCTATTTTTCTAACATATTTAATTAACCTTAAATTAATTTTCCTTCCTCTATTAATTCAAGTCTTGTTAAAATTTAATAAATTCAGATTGACAATCCAGTGTTATCACTTTTGGCTTGCAATTACATACATTAATCTAAAGAATAATATTTATTATTATTAAATTTATATTTTGATCATAGTGAAACGTTTGCATTTACTACTGAAATATATTTGGTTGTCTCATAATAGCTATCATTTATTGATTTCTTTGCTGTATAATTTTAAGAAAAGAAAACGCTCTTTTCGGTCTTTATCGAAGGAGACAGCCACTGTATTTAATGTTTCCATTATATCAATTAATAATACACGACTGTGAATAATTAAATCATTAGCGTGAGAACACAGCCGGTAACAGAAAAGTTAGAAGACACGTGTTCAAAGAAAATCTGTTACTAATAAAAATGTATATGGATTTGGCTGCGGTATAGACGCTTAGTTAGATGTTTCTCACCCGATGAAATATGCAACGAGCACTCGCGTCCATTCAAGCGTGTCTGTTTGATAATTTTCGAGTTCATCAAATTAGCCGTAAAGTGAATTTAAATTCAAAAACAAGTAGATAAATAATGACTCATATTCCATATCTTTCTAACTCCACAACAAAGTCCGTCGGGTCGGGGTTAAAACTACTGTAACAATAATTCCAGCTGGCTTTGGAAATAGTGATTAAAAGATAGGGTGGGGAAGAAAAGTAGCTAGTTTATGATATTAAACTGACCATTGACGGTTTCTATAATACAACTGACAGCAATGGAAGGATTAGTTGATAGTTTGAAAATCCTTCGAGTAATAGATTCATCAACTGCGATGCGGAATGAGAAAATAACCTTCACATTAAAACATTTACAGAACAATATGGTTTGAACAGATAATGATATAGAAATTAAACAGACAGATATACTTCAAAAAATGCAGCTCCAACGGGTTTATGGAAGACAAGGCTTCTTGGATTATCAATAAACAAAATCCTTAAGGAAAAAACGAAACACGTATGAACTAAGAACAGTAAACCTTAAGTATCCGAACCTCTGTTATTCTAACCCTTTAATATACAAACCGTGGTTAACATATCTAAACGATCCACGTTTAGAACGTTAATAGTCAATACGCATTGTATCGTTCATACACGAGCAACCAATACACCGATTTGATCACTGTAGGAATTAATAATTAATCCTTTATTTATTAGATAACCTCGTAACACGATGCTTTTATCTAAATAATATCCAAGTGACATCAACATCAGATAGTATATAAAAATGTTTTTATATGCATTTTGGGTATATACAATGAGTACAAAATATCGACTGTCGTTATTTTTGATTTTAATATTAAATCGTCTTGACGAATACTCTTCGTTTTTTTTGCATCCAGTTTTGTTTTATTTCTACAGTATAAACATCTTGTTATCTAAAATGGAACCACCATCAACTACCTTGATGTCTAAATGGAAATGTAATGTTTTTACAACGAAAAAAAATATATAAATTCTTGCTAAATTAGACTAAGGTGTACCTTTACTCCGACTTCATAGTATTGATAAAACAAAAGTTAAGGATATAAAAAACCATTTTATCGATATTTTTTTTAAAAAAATTGAATGTATTATGTATGTACGTAATCATTATAATTCTATAATAACAATAATATGTAATTAATAATAACATATGAGAAACAATAAATATAGTATAAAGCTTACACACATGTATGTTTTTTTTTTTTTATAATATTAATTTGCATATTAAATACATTTATATAAATAACAATATGTGTGTATTAAAAAAAACATTTTAGTATCCGAACTAGGTGTGTTTCCAGTTCATTCGGATAATCAAGGCTCAACTATATAGACAAATTGTTATATTCAAAAATCATAGACGTAAAACTGTAAAACTCAGATTCTATCGTGAACAGTGACTTTAATCTTCTCGTGTTGAAACGTAATTTCGTATGCTTAAAAATCTCGAAAAATGAATACAAAAAATAGAAATATAACATATATGAAGTTTAAAACCATAGCTTATATATTCTGTACTAATAAAAAATTTAAAATATCGCTGTGTGTGCCACTGAAGGTAAATAGAAAAAAAGCAACGTCGGAAAGAGTGAAAGGAGAAAGGAAGAATGCAAGACTAAACTTAGGGTTAAATGCAAAAAAAAAATCCTTCATTATTATAACATGTATATACATACATTTCAGCTAGATAAACTACATTGGTTTTTTGAAGTAGGTATTAATAAAATAATAAAAGAAAAATATTTGTCACTACGTTGAGAAACTCAACACGAACAATCACATTGGCATAATTTATAACGTTAGTGATCAAAAACATAATAGTTATACGTATTATATTTTACTTAAACCATAGTTAATATTTATACGGTTTTAAAAACTAATTTTGAAATACAGAAAAGAATGATACATTTTATTTATTTCTTTTAACATCCATAAATTGAATGCAAATTTTTATAAACCTTATTAGTTTCCGAAGATATTGTTACAGTAGGTAAAAATGTTCCAAAGATAAATATAAGTATCAAATTTTATAATCCACACAGAAAAAAAATTAAATGTATTATTTTGTGGCACATTGTCGTTAAAGAATACGTTATAATTTGTATTTCAATGTATTTGTATATCAATCAAATCCATCAAAATAGTTTTTCCGTAAACTACTACCACAATAAATATTGATAATCAAATTATCAAATGTTAGAATTTTAAAATATTATAATATTTTAATTTTTTTCCACATAATATAAGTTGGTTTTAGGAAAAGGATTTATAAATACAAATAAATTTCTAAGTTATTTGCTTACTAATTATAAGAAACTATTGACTTAAAGTGTATAAATAGTAAAAATTCTACATCAATTATAAATTTCTCAACTGTAGTACAAATGTATTACTTGTTATCAATATTTATTGAATAGTGTTTTTCACAAAAAACGGTTTTTCAGACGGACTTCATTACTACACAACAACTAATAATATTACCGACATACCACTTATATGTATTACTTTGAAAATATATTTAAATTCACCAATCGGTTTTGGTTTTTCTTAGTTTTGTTAAAATTGCCTAAATAAATCTCGTAAAAGAAATAATGTATAACAACCATTCTCAATACAGTATCAAATATACCACTACAATAATATATTTAGAACACCTCTGTGCACTACGATTTTGTTTGTTAGGCGTATTTTATTCTTATCGCTTTATTTGACGTTGTGTGCTTTAACATACCACGTGGGCGGACAATGTTGAAACAAATATTTACAATCATTCTCTAACGTCTGAAAAGAACGAATCGTTATTTGTCACTTCGGACGCTGCAGTAGCAACTCATATATATCCATATAATATATATTCATGTAAATATATATTCGAATAATACGTTTATTTGCATACCCAAACATTTTAGTGTGCGTATATATATATATATATATATATTCAAAGTTATGGGTAAAAAACGCCACTATTGGTTATGAAGTATATAAAAGAACATAAGATAGAGAGAGAGAAAATTAAAAATTAAAAAAAAACCAAAAGTGTCATAAAAGAAAATTATTTTTCCCCAACGTTTTTTTTTTAAAAAAATGTAGAAAAGCACTTGTGAAAAAAATCGGCATCGGCTCGGGAATGCCGGTGGCGTTTGCTGCGGCGTATGTTTATTCTGGAAAACATACGCCAGAAGGAGTTTTATCGTTATCCTTATTTTATTTTGCTAACTCGCAAAGAAAATCGAACGGAAATGGATGGACGAAAAAAATACACGCCGATGATGAAATCAACAATGTTAATATCTACAGTATACATGTACGAAAATCACGTGGTTCGTTGTTCCAAACAATAAGAGTTCGTTAACGTTTTCTTTAAATCTCGTCTCGGCTTGCTCTCATTCCGACCGCACGTTTTTTTTCGTTCCCTCCCCCTCCTCCCTCGCACCACGTCCACACAGTGCTTGTCCCCGAAAAAGAAACAAATGTTAATCAAATAAATAATAAGGGAAAAAACCCAGCACACCCCGAATGGACGGATATTTCATTTGTTTGTATTTTTTTTTTTTTCACAAATCGCCATTTGTTAAAACAAGATTGTGTACGCATGTATGTTTGCTCGACCGCCGTCAACGTCAACTACGATGACAATGATATAACGTGATTACAGAACGTTTGTATGTACACACGACGATGAAGAAAGTGTGTGCAAGACGTACAAATCGCAATGCGAGAGCACGTGAAACGTCATCGATGTCGTTTTTTCGAGCGGAAAGTAGTGTACAGTAAGTTTATGTTAGCTCAGAACTCGAAGGGTCCGCCTCGTCCGTCTGGTTTTCGACAAACGGTATATTTATATTCGTCACGACTGAAAAGGAACACCATTGATCTCATCCAGCAGGAAAATGGTATTCTTCTGCAGTGGTATTATTTTCACGTGAAACGGCGGTAGGCTACGTCTATGGAAATACGAATAATATCAATGAGTCTTAAATATCGTTTACATCTATATAATAGAATAACTTTATTATTAGTTGTTGTTTTTGTTGCTGAAAACCTATTTGTATTGAGTTAAATGAATCGACGTCTTGTGGCTACATCCGCGTAAGCCCTTTCAATTTTTAACAACAGGATGACGTATATTATAAATTTTGATTTTCTTAAAATGGCAAACCGTATTTTCAATGATTCGTGCCAGAAAAGAGAACGAGATATCCTTTTCTGGAACGTTTTGGCAATATTATAGACTAACTGGTTACATTGATAATTCACACGTTTATCGTAGGTACATAGTGTTTTCGAGGGAAATTTAAAATAATTTTCATTTCCTAAAATGTATTAAAAAAAAATTATTAGATAATAATAATAATTTTTATTTCCCGCGTTTGAATTTCCTGTTCAAAGTTCTCGCACCCCAGTTCCGCCATAATTACCATTATTATTATATTAAAAATTGTTCTTGAAAAAATCCATTATAAATATTAAAATACAATCGAATCATACATTTTATACGTTTCAAACAACTTCAAAGTGCAGTATAGTGTTAATCTGGTAATATTGTATATTGTGATTATAAAATGAATAACATGAAATATCTTGTATCATACAATTTAAAAGTATAGTAAGATAATACTATAGTAAGTATATTATATAGTTAGATAATACAACTATTAACTTAAAAAGTTTTTAAAATAATTCATGGTCATAACTATATTTAATTTTAATGTTTTCTCGTAATAAATATCCAAATCTTCAAACAATGAAATGAAAAATTTTTTCTAGCCTTTATTCATCATTATATATGTATTATATTATATTATATTAAATAATTTAAGTTTATATATGTACATGATTTATTTAATTAATTACTAACCTTATATTATATATATAAGATAATAATATATATTTTACTAATACTTTTGAATATAAATCAATCGATATTAACAGATATGGATTTTCCACAATTTATTTAGAAAAAAAATGTTATAAAATCTTAACATCACAGCATGGAATAACAATTAAACAATAATTTTTCACTACATAAAATCAATATGAAATTGCTTTGTCTATTGAAAATATAATATAGTATATGTACTATTTAAATTAAACTTTTGAATTTTCATTTTATTAGATCCTCCTGAAGTTAAAGAAGAGCGATCGATTGTATTTACGGTGGAAGGACAAGAAACACAAATTGTCTGTATAGTGCACGCAGAGCCGAAAGCTGAAGTAAGTAACTTTTTAAAAGTTTTTTTTGTACCGTTAGAAATTCAATTTTATTTATATCGGTTCCGAAGTCTTATCATATAATCATGTTTTATTTCATTTCTATTCAAACATGGTTATACACACCAAAGTTCCCATTCAGAATATAAACGTAAATCTTATACTCGGTATTATCATAACAAATACGTTATTCTTAATTCTGAACAAACCCCTATAAAATTGCTTATCAAAAATGACATAGAGTACGCTGATTACTTTTTGTAAACTCGTGTTTATTTGTTAATTAAGTTAACCCCTTCAAGTTTATTTTGTTTTGTTTTTTTTGCACACTAGAACTATATGCTATATTTTAATTGTTATCTGAATTATTGAAAACTTTCAAGTTATAAAAAAAATCACTTTACAGGCGTTCTTGCGTACATGCGACGAAATAAAAATGATTCATTATAATTTTCTATTCGTTCCAAACTATAAATACGCCTGCCTTAAGTTTTAACGGACACATTAGACCCGAGAAATTAGTGTAGAATGTTTTTAGTTTAAAACAATGACTAACAATGCAACAATGCCTAAAGGGTGGGAGTAGGTAGGCACAAGGCTAGGGATAAATATTTTACCATCGTCTATTAACGGGGAACAGGGAAACGAGGATGTGAGGACTTTGGGCAGGAAACTCGAGCCCGGTAGATCAAAATTATTATTATTATTATTATTATTGTAAATCAGTGTGTGTTGGCGGATGTTGTACCTGAAAACGGCAGACCAGTGGGTTGTATTCATCACGAAAACTCTGTAAATTGAAAATCACGCACTTAAATTGCGGTCATTCGTAATTTGCTACTGTACGTTTCCCCAACACTTTTTTCTCGAACTGAGGGACGGTAAATAATCATTTTTAATGATCAACCGCTATCATCACACTTCGTCTGCCAACCGAAAAAAATAAATAAAAATTATCTTTACCCAATCTTACAAATCGTAACGAACACTTTAAGTGAGCGCGTGCGCGCGTATACGTGTGAGCATATTGTATTAAATAGTTTTTATTACGTCCCAAAAATAGGTTTATAAAGTTAATTCTACTGTTATTACAACACGGTAGCGAACGTACGTTTTTTATTCTTGTGGTGTACCTACAATACATGAACACATTGCTATTTTTACACAAAAATATATACTACATGTCTTCCACTACTTGTTATTTCCCTAAAATTGGTATAGTTTGAGATTTTTTTTTCAAAATATCCGTACACTTCACGGTAATAATTGGTCTCAATTTTTTTTCCATACGGTTGTTTTACGTTAATTTTATTCTGTAAAGTTACACATTATAAATATATATATATATATTATATCGTATACCAATCATAGTTTACTTTTCATTCGGTCAAATAAATATACATTGGGCTGGCTGTTTAAATGACTAATTGTTGAATGTTGTTTACATATTTTATTAAATTGCAACTATATAATTAGTATGCTTACAATTATATTCACATTAGTATGTAAATTGAATCAAACGTGACAATATTATCAAAGGGGACAACTTTGATTGCTAAGCATAAAAATACAAAAAAAATAAGAATTACCTAGATTATAAAAGAAACGTATCACGATTAACTAATAATCAAAACATAGCTTAATCAAATATGAAATTCCGATTTGAGGAAGAAAACAAAAAACACATACTCTATATGCAAGTCGTTTAAATTATTTTATGTTACAAATCCAAAACTTTCATATACCTCCATTATTTATGTTTTTATTAGTCATTATTAGTTAAAATTTATTATTAAATAGTCTTTATAAGTCATACGATTGCGTACAAAAGAACGGCCTATTTAAATTTTTAAAACACATAACAGAAATATTAGATTTCATAAGGACACTAATCGTACCAACACTTTATAAATTTTTCAATCAAAAAATACACCGGATTTATCAAAATACTAGTGATGAGCAACGACATAATTTTATGTATCGATATCGTTCCAATTTTGCCGATATTGTATCGTAATATCGTACGTTGTACGATATCCATATCTTATCGAAAATACACATTTTAAATATTAGGTAACTACTAAGTATTTATAAGTTATTACTTATTATCATTTCAAAAATGTATTTTACCTAGCTAATTAAAGATGAAGAAAAAATTAATTACATTCTGACAAATAAATATACATAATAATAATATAAATTTCATAAAAATTAAAACCATTTTTATTAATAATAGGTTTTCAAATAATTAATGTGTTTAATATTCAAACCCGTTGGATGTATCCTAGAAAAAAAATCCATGACTATTTTACTATTTTTTTCAATCAAAAATGAAAATATACATAGATTTCTCACCCAAGTATGATCAGATGTCTCTTAGTAGATTTATAATAAGACTTCAAAAAGAGAATGTCGTTAACTCGATCTAGAGATTGTCTATTTTTTTTTTTCGAAGTTATATTACCTGCCTTACTAAACAGACGTTTAAATGGGACATTAGTAGCAATTACTGATAAGTATTTATACGCTAATACTGATACTACTGGACATAAATTTGAATTACTTTTCCACCATTTAAGTAAATCATCCTGACGATAACATTTTATACATTACAGTACAATCCAATACATCATATCTAATATCTGTGAACTACAAATAAAATATTCATTTCGATATCCCGATAAATCGAACAATATAAAACATTATCGATATCGAGAATTTTTCACAATATCAAAATCAATTATAAAATAAAAATTATTGATATTGTTATTATTATTTATTCGAATGGCATTGATATTGTTGTCTATCATTGCAAAACACTGGTTACAAAGTTTAAGGAAAACCGACCAAATCCACACTAATAGTGAACTCGTGTGTTATTCATTCCTAATTACGAAAATATTGTGTATCTACGTAATCATTGGATTGAAATAAAGTCTCGTTATGATAATATCAAACTATGAAAACAAAAAAATATAACCAGCACATAATATTATTATGAAATATTATGGCTGCTACATTTTGTCAAAACTTGAATGCGATTAGAATCAGACAGTATTCTTTACGTGACATAATGTAATGTCATCATTAGTCTTAGCGTACAAGGTTTCTATTATATTGTGCATTTGATATCTTGTTTAAATGTGACAACAATAATTAAAACAATAATAATAATAATAATACACGTTCCCAATTGTATCCGCACTGAAGATATATATACTCGTACATATAAATACATTATTATATTATTGTACAGACACCGAACACTGTTTGATGAGTGCGAACCACTACTTCGTATCTTCGCATATAAAATGTAATATACACATTTAATACAAATAATTGTACATTTGGAGTATGCGTGGAATAATATCAAAATAATGTTTTCTTGGCGTAATTGACGATGGTGTAATAATAATATGTATCGATTGTTTTCAAACTAAAAGCCATTTTGTAAGCTGACGAATTAATTCACACGTATTTGGATAGTACATGCGTAACATGGACTCGCGTCTCTAATTTGTAGAATTACTCCAGTTTTCAATATTACTTCAGAAAGTTGCACGCCCAATATAAAGGCGCCACCGCGTCGTTTCATTGAGTATCCAACAATCTTTTGATTCTAGTCCCTTAAAATAGTTGGAATCTCTGTCCATTCATATATCGGCGTTTCTCTTTTTACAAGCTCAATAAGTGTTACACGACAGTATAATATAATAGTTGTCTTATTTTGCAGAACAAATCGTATTAAAATTCATAATTTCGGCTCAAAGTTCGTCACGCATTTCGTTTATTTTTTTTATTCTTTTGAGAACCTTGCCGTATACGACGCGTCATCGTGACTCTTTTATCGCAAGTGGTCGTTTTTTTTCGCGGCTTTTGCGTTACGAACTGCCCTCACAAACATTTTGCAACCTTTTCAAGTATCCTACTTCCTTTTAAGTTACTGAACACCAAAGAATAATGGTCAACCTCCTTAAAGGTTTTTTTCTTCTCACTTTTGACCTAGTTTTATTCTTACTAAATATCCAAAGATCTTGAAGAAAATATGATTTTACCTAAATGAAATATACTTCAAGTGGTACTCGAATATTCTTCAATTATCGTAAGCTGCTTGTCTGGTATCCAAAATATATATATATTTTACTCACTTCGCTGTAAAAGTTCTAAACACTTCCTAAAACTAAGCGATACAATAACATTATGTACATACTTCTTGTACTTGATTACATTTCTGGCCCTATATAAATGGATATAGGTACTTAAGAAATATGCCACCCTTAATCTTGAAAAATAAAAGCATCGATACCCATAGGATTTGACTAGAGATTTCAGATTCTTACGATTGCAATAGTGGACGAGAAGAAAAAACAAGTATAAGAAAAAGTGCTACTAAAATTCACTTCCACGTCTTCTGTGTAAGTATGTTAGGGTGATCATTATTCCCCTTTAAAACGGGATTGTTCTTTTTTTTATCATTTTGTTCCGTTGTCCCGACAAATTATGAACGGGACGCTTTTTATTCCATTTTTAGAATAGGGTCCCGTCTTAATCCCGTTGTTTTCATAAAAATTGTAAAAGAAAAAAATCTAAATATAAAACAAAATAGATTTTCTTTCTTTTACAACTATTTTCATACTCTATTTTTACAAATATTATTTTATATGTATAAAACAAAATTCTTTGACTTTTTTTTTGATCATTCAAACAATTTCAAAAATGTACTAATTAATCACTTATAATCACTTACATATGTAATTATATGTTCAACACTATTGATTTAAAAGTATTTCTACTTAGTATGTACTTAATCGAGATTATTTATCTACATATCTTACTCATGTTATCTATATTAACTATTTACTTATGTATCTGTACTCTTTGCCTTGAAGGGCGTCATTATTTATTGTACATTTTACTCTTTACAATAAATTATTATTATTATTATTTTTATTATTATTATTATTATTATTATTATTAAAATACATAATAATACTACGAAAAAT